GTTGAGCCCCCAAATCCCCTGAATTCATGAAAATAGACAGAAGCAATCTTTGCCAAGAAAGGGAAGTCAGAGAAGGGGAGGAGAAAGGAAGAAAAGCTTAGCCAAAGTAAGTAGAAGCCATTAGGGTTTCTTGAAAATTGGTGATTTCCGGCAGCTATAAATTGAGCCTTCCCCTACCCAACAAACTCAACTCATAACCTGCAGAGAGCAAGCTTTTCTCTCTATCTTGCAAAACTCAGACTCGTGCACTGTTCATCTTCTTCTCCAATTTGTTTTTCTGGCAGCTGCCAGAAGAACTCTGCCTTTCTTTTTCCTCTTTCCCTAGTCGAATTCCTCACAAAACACCTCATTCCTTACTTAAACACTTTCTTTTCTCATAAACCAAGCCTAATTTCTCTCTTAGTGCTAAACCCATGTTGATTTTGCTCCCATGCCACATGCCACTCATGCTGAGCTGAAAAGACCATCTGTAAGCATGAAGAAATTACGTGTAAGCTGCCATTATTTTGGTTGGTGAAGATAACCAAAATACTTCCTAAGGCTCTACTGCCTTTTCGAGGTATTTTGGGGCTTAATTTTCGAACTCAGGCTCAAGGGGCAATTTCTTCCATTTTGCCCTTTACGGCAGTCAGGCCCGTAGTAGCTGCCGGAAGAAAAAAAGCCCCTACAATTAGTTATGTATAATTCATAAAAAGAAAATAACATAAACATTTTATTAAACAAACCGATTACCTAAATTTGAATTTATTGTTAAATTTTTTTTAAAATGTTTCAAAATTAATTCCTACATCCATTACAACCATTTGAAGATCTTTTCAAATTCAACATCTGTCATTATATACAATCCAATTAAAAACTGTTTCCATATTGATTCCTACATTAATATACAAAATGCAATAACGGCTTAGTTGGGGGTATTTTTGGAATCTGAAAAGTACAATAAATTAGATTTTATGCTTAAGTAGGTAACTTGCTGAGTTGGATCCTAGTCATGGGTTTTTACTTATACAAATTGGGTATTATTTATAGGAACAAAAAGTGAAGGGTTTTAGGTATGGCAAATTGAATTTGAAGGGTGTAAGCCAAATTTACTATTTAATATAAGATCTTCCTCTTCCATTATGCTTATGAAATTAGGATTCGGATCCTCTGTTTGGATTTTATCTGCGAGCATTTGTTTGATTAATATAAAGCTGCCACATCAAATATAATACAATCCAATGGTGAAAAGAGCTGCCACACCACATATGGTAGTAAATCGAAAAAAATATAAATGTGCATATAGATACTCCCTAACATTATTGGTGAGACCTCTCCATCATAAACGACACAGGACAGGATGTGATGATGTATTTTTCGTGAGCAATAAGAAGTTGCCGCTAAGAAGTCTTGGGACTATTCGGCTATCCATAAAAGGAAGGATTTGGTTGCTTGCTTTGTCTCCACGACATCCTACTAGCCAATGCCATTCATCTGTGAATGCGATGAAGCGAATATATGGACAGTAGAAAAAGCTAATTTGGCAACTATATATAATTGATACCAAACTCACATGTCCTCATTTTTATGTGGATCATCGCCGACCTTGAATCCCACGCAACCTCAGCATACTTGCTGCCCAAGAAAATTCTAGAATACCAAAAAGGCCGTAACGTATATTGTAATCCACTTGGAGAGCTTAATTACAAAAAGACTCATCAGGTCAATTGTCCTCCTTACACATTGTAATTGTATATATGAGGAAAAAGAGAAGGGTAAAAATGGAAGAACGTTTTTCTGTTTATGAGAGGGAACGTGTCAAAATCAGAGCCATACGTTCAGTGTCACCAAACTCGCATGATTTGAGTTTGAGTAGGCGAATTGCAATCTGTCTTTCCCAAACCTTCATTAAATAAATAAGTCGGTATTTAAAAGTCCACGCGGACTCTTTTAAACCCCTCCTCATACACCGACTTCACCTCGTCCTGAAAAACCCAAAACCCTAAAAAAGTCCAGACACAACAGAAAACAATCAAACAAACAAACTCTCTCTCTCTCTCTCTCTCTCTCTCTCTCTCTCTCTCTACCGATCATGAGCATGATGCTGGTGAGTCGAAGATACGTGGCGAAATCCATGGTGGGCGTTGCAGGAGGCACAATACGCCTCTTCTCCAGCGCAACAACTACTGCTTGTAGCGGCACCGGAGCAGCAGCAGCAGCCGCCAAACAGTCTACGAGGATGGGTGTTCCTACGTGGACGAAAAGCGGCGCCATTTACTGGGTTCAGATGGATTGTGGGACCAGGAGTACCGGCACCGTGGCCCTGGGTGGCAAGGACGACTACGAGGAAGAGAAGAAACAGCATGCAGCAGATCATGGCTCCAAGCCTTCCGTTGATAACGGTTCTGGCAATAAGGATGAGAAAGGGATCGCCAGTTATTGGGGCGTGGGGCCCACCAAGCTTACCAAGGAAGATGGCACCCAATGGAAATGGACTTGCTTTAGAGTATGTACCTTTTTCTTTATTTTTCTGCCAAACTAAAAGCGTGTTTTTGTCTATTTTTTAGGGTTAAAAACTTTTTTCCTCATTGAAATTTGCGTGAAATTTCAATTTGGTCATTAGAAAAATAAAAATAAAAAATTGGCCGATAAAGTTTAAAATTTTCAGGGATCAAATTGAATTTTTAGTATAAAATTCAATGACAAAAAAAGTTTTTCCCCCTTTTTTCAAATTATTTTTTTATGTGAATTTTGCTGAAATTTGGTTTTGTGAAATATTAATTTGAAGCCATGGGAGACGTACAAAGCCGACGTCTCCATAGATCTGAATAAGCATCACGTGCCAACGACTTTCTTGGACAAAATGGCTTACTGGACCGTCAAGTCTCTCCGATGGCCTACTGATCTTTTCTTCCAGGTATATATATCACATAATTAATTAAAATTTATTTATTCGACTATATTTATATATTTTAATAAATTTTTCATTGTTCAGAATCACTATATTTATATATGTTATTACTAGTTGGACTTGGATGTAAATAAGCCTCACAATCGGGTCAATTTTGAATCAATAATAAAACATATTTGGTGAATGATCTAATTTAGAAAACCGTATCATATACTAAAACATTCTTTTCACTTTGAAAAAATCCTATCATTTTAACTTCTCTTTTTTTTTTTTTTTTTTTGAAATTAATAAATGATAATAATAATAATAGTTAATGTTATTTCTTGAAAAAAAGAAATTGTTGTAACATGAAAGTTGGTGGTGATCAGAGACGGTATGGGTGCCGAGCAATGATGCTGGAAACTGTGGCAGCAGTGCCTGGGATGGTAGGAGGGATGCTGCTGCACTGCAAGTCCCTGAGGCGGTTCGAGCACAGCGGAGGGTGGATCAAAGCCCTGCTGGAAGAAGCGGAGAACGAGCGAATGCACCTCATGACCTTCATGGAAGTAGCCAAGCCCAAGTGGTACGAGCGTGCCTTAGTTGTCACGGTTCAAGGTGTCTTCTTCAATGCTTACATGTTGGGTTATCTGCTCTCCCCTAAATTCGCTCATCGAATGGTCGGGTACCTTGAGGAGGAAGCAATCCACTCCTACACTGAGTTCCTCAAGGAGTTGGATAAAGGGAACATAGAGAATGTGCCAGCTCCAGCCATTGCTATTGACTATTGGCAGCTCCCACCTAACTCTACGTTGAGAGATGTTGTCACGGTTGTTAGGGCAGATGAGGCACATCATCGAGATGTCAATCACTTTGCCTCGGTAGCAAGCTACTATCAATTAATTTACTGCTTATTAAAACTCAATTAGGCCCTATATGTTATTAATTAATTAGTTAATTTCAATTTTGCAGGACATACACTATCATGGCCACCAACTGAAAGAATCTCCGGCTCCAATTGGTTATCACTAGGGCTGGACAACCGACCCAACCTGCACCGATTGCCAGAAACCGCCTGACAACAAGTGATCATGATACCTTCTATTTAAATTTTTGGGTCAAGTGATACTATTAGAGATCAGATGGGTAATACTACTGCAGGTGCTAAATAAACCTGCGCTTTGTCTACTATAACTTCATTGTACACACTATGGAAATCGATTTCTTGGTTTTGATACTTTTATTTTTTTTCTTCTTCTAAAAAGTACAGTTTTTACAAAAAATTTCCACTTCTAATCTACCAGGGTTTGATTTGGGTTAGCTATATATAGATGGTGACAGCCAAATCCAATTGCTTTGAGCCTTGGACAAGCATGGCACAAGAGAAAGGAGGTTTTTATTTACTTGACAAAATTTTGTATTGGGGGTCATATCTTGAAGTTTTGTAGACCATCAACACATGCACGTAGGAAGGCTACAAAGACTTTAAAACAACGTCTTTGACGTGCTTCACCATACCATGCTTATTGCTTTCATAATCTTAATTTATTTTACCTTTATTTACCTATCATCCTTCAAATTTATTTTATATATTATTTATATTATAAAGGGTTTTGTTTTTAATTTTACGAAAAAGGAAAAACTATAATTTTTATAACAGTTTGAAATGCGGAGAATAATGCTCTGTTTCTTGATATTATTGGTGAGTACAGTGCTCTATATAAATACAACTTCAAATGGACCAATGGAATATTTACAACAATGTATGCATTGTCCAGCGTGCTTTCTATCTATCTCAGGCCTTAGATTGTAATAAAGCTAGCAAAGTATACGAAACATTATGAGTCAGCTATTTCTCATATCAACATCAAATGCACGTGAACCTTTCTGATAGCATCTCAAATCCTTGGCGCATGTTAATGGCTTCATGTACTAGAAGGCTTTGTCTCCTCAACAAGTACTAGAAGGCTTTGTCTTCTCAGCGGTACTATAAGGCTTTGTCTCCTCATAGCAAAGGTGACCATGTTGATGAGGATGGAGCAACAGCCAAACAGAAGAACAAGAAGAGCAAAACATGCATGTGATGTCTGGTACAATAGAGCCTCTGTCTTCTCAACGGCCTCAACAGGTACTAGTATAAGGCCCTGTCTTCTCAACGTACGGCTTCTATTATTATTTCCCTTCAACGGAAGGCCACTCACGTGAAGGCTGCCTTTCTCTCAATTTCTCTTAACTTTTTCCCTTTGTTTGAACCTCAATACTTGAGATGCCAACGCCAAGGAGCGGACGCCATCGATTCTTCAAAGAGAATCCAACTGTCTAAATGTATTGATTTACCATGTTATTAATTTTTAAAGTGTTGAACTTTTGCACTTGTGTTTTGTATTAATAAAATAATATATACCTAGAAATTATAAAATAATACTCTTAACATTACTAATGTGCAGTTTTATTTCTTGGGTTTTACTTGGATGCTTGCAATTGCATTACTAATGTTAGTCCTGCTTGAATATTGGAACTTTTATTTATTTATAATTTATTTTTAATATCTGAAAGTTTGAATTTGCTACCTAATCGAGTTTGGTAGGCTAAACTCTGGCTAGATTTTTCCATGGTTTTGAATAATCAGAGCCTGCAAATAAATTCTTCCCCTGCCCCACTTTTGTCCCCATAACTTGATACAGTATCCCATTTCGCATGTATTTAGCCTGTGGACTTGGACAAAGCCCGACTTGGCATTTTCCACATGAAAGTTTGTTGATCAGTATGGCAATTTTTATTTGTATTTTTTTTGACATAATCAGTATGACAAAATTAAGAAAACTAAACGAAAGAAAGTATACTCATTTGTTCTTATCAATCAATTTGCAGGGCATTAAAAACCAGGGGAAACACATCCAATTACCCAAATATGGACTGATATTCCATTCATCTTTTATTGGTCGAGCATCTGCGCGGGACAAGGGATGAATGGCTCGTTATCTTGCAAACAAGTGTTCTATTGCAAAATATTGGCTTCTCTATATAAACTCCCCAACCCATCACCTTCACTCTCACCCCTCATCCCACCCTTATCATTAATTCCATTTCATCATGAATTATACTATATATTATTTGAAGCTCTCGGACTCCAACTTGACTCCAACACTCTACTCTAGTATATTACGGAGGATAGTTTGGGAGACTACAATCGTGAGTTGTCGGAGGTCTTGAAGAACACAGTTTCTGGCATGGTCAATGCTATGCATTTTAACAGGGCGGCAGGTAGGAATATCAACTTGCGCATCTATAACATCAATGATGTTATAGTAGCAATTGCCTTGAAGTGTTCAACTCGATGAAATAGTCGTGTGGCTATATGGACTGACGTGCCTGGTGATATTCATGCCATGCAACATGTGGCAAAAAGAGTGGGTTTGAACCACTGCATTGGAAATCAACATATTCTATCAAAGGACATTCCTCAACACTTTGCCTAAACTTATGCATCATGCAAGAGCACGTTGGATAATCAACTCTTCACCTCTGCCATGTTTTCGCCTGAGAAAATTTAGCACTTTAATATGCTTTTAATTTAATTAAATTGACATCATTGTTATAGAGGCATTAACATCAATGGACATTGTTGAGGTTGGAAGCAATCAAGAAATGATATTTCTTATTGATCTCAAATAACAGATTAATCCAAATTGGCTCTAAAACTCAATTTTCATATGTAAACCCAATGACTTGATCCAAATCAGCTAGTTACATAATCAAACTTATAGATAGGATTTATTATATTTTTTAGATTCCAAAAATACCCCTAATTATCCCTTTATCTATTCAAGGCAGGATTATAAGTGCTAAACGTTATATATGTCTCCATTAATGAGGTTATCTACTACCTCAATTGATTTTTTTTTTCTATTTTTTTATAATTTCTGTCACCTTTCCTCCGTTTTGTTTTATGATCGAGTTAACTTTCCTTATGTTGTAGATTTGTGATATTTGATACGTGTGCCTATGAACTTGACTATTAGGTAAATTAGTATTATATACATGTATAATGTCTATATTACTTAATATATGTACCTATCTTTTCAATAAATAATGTACTTATTTTTTTATTTAAAAAATGTGCCTTAAAAAAAAAATGATTTACCTATTTTTTATATATAAATAATGTACCTATATATATTTTGTAAATAAGTAATTTTCCTTTTTCTTTATAAATAATGTACCTATTTTTTTGTAAATAATTAATTTACTTTTTTTATTTTATAAATTATATATTTTTTGGTGTAGAAATAAAGTATTACAAAGAGCAAAAGGAAAATTATTTTGTCTTGATTTGAGTATATTTATAGGTACATTATATATTTCAAAATTGGATTTTATGTAGAAGTTTTAATTTAGGAGGAAAATTAGGTATTAGACATAATTAAGTTTACTAATTAG